TCAAGTTTCATTTGCATTCATAATATAATCATATGATTAAACAGAATATAACATCATAATCTTTTCACTCGTGTCTATCAATTTTCAAAAATAGCTACAATGTCCGACTTCACGCCCCAGGGGCGTCTAGTTTAAGTTTTAAATCATAAACTCTCTCAAAGAACTAGTCATGCAGTCCTGTTACACTACTCGTCAATCCTGTTATACAGCCCGTCAAYCTTGTTATGCAACTACTATCAGTTGAACGGGTAGAGAGCTTCTTTCTGATCCATTTTGAACAGAAATTTGTACAATTGCAGTATCACTAGATCCAATTGGTGCATTTCGAGGTGTGTTGAAATCWACACTGAAAAASCCCCACTTTCCTGGTCTAAGGGTACGTCTTGCGCGAGMTACAGGTGCGGCATAACGTAAGGTGTCTTTGACTGCAATATTCACTACTTTGTTAACAGTTGCCGAGTTAAAGAGATGGAATGTGACTCTGGTTCTCTGTCCTCGTCGTAGAGTGAAGTCTTTATCAGACCGTAGTACTCGCAGTAGAACGTGTTTAGGTTCGATGACGTTACGAGAAACGCGTTCAAACGAATTTCCAGCCTTTGTAGTGCCTTTGATTTTGAGCTTAAAGGGTCGGGATGGTGGGGTAAATGTTGCACTGTAACGCATTCCTTGACTATCGGGCTGCAGCGTGACATCTCTGATGTGTTCTCCATGCTTTGTTATTAGTTCTAAGACAACAGTGTTTTTCTGCACTTTGTGATAACCAGCTAAGGTTAGGATAACTTTCGTACCACGGCCTGWAAATCACAGAATTTGAAWAATGAAAATAATCCCGTTGTAATAGAATTTTAGTCATTTTCAGATAACTCGGCGTGGAAACATCCCATATTCAKTGTATAAAGTCTGGACTAGTACGGTTTTTCCTTTTAATTCCAAATCCAGCACCATCACCCCTCCCCTAATGGGACATAATAAATGATTGTTCCCCTAATGTAATACTCAGTCTGTACTCACCTTTAAGAGGGTTAGYTATTGGTACCTCRGTTGCAGGTCTCCTTATGCTATGCGTGAAGTAATATTCAAAATCAATGTTACTATCGCTTGTTGACTTGATAAAGTAACTATGTTTCCCTACAGACGCTGGAATGACTAGACTCCAGGTCCCTACGTTGGGTKTGGCGACGCTATAGACTGATACTTTGGACATCGAGACTTTTCCTGATGTTATTGTTGTTCCTGGAGCGAGGTAAAAAGCATATATTATCGTTAGATTTATAACATGTCACTACTAATATTGCCGCATTATTACTCAAATTTAATATCAAATTTAATTTGTACAATAATTGGACGGATAACTTAGATGTTGTAACGTACCAAGCTTCGCTCATTCGTTTCATTCAAAGTATCCATTCATCTCTTTTCATTTGTTCATTTTTCCATCTATTTGTTTGATTATTCGTTTGTTTGTTCGTTTATAGTACTAAATAAACCATAAAAATACCTAATCGTCTTCCTGGGGAAAAGCAAAACTAGAAGTGCACAATATTCGTAAATCAATGATATAAGATACCTCTTGGGTTGATAAGTAAGATGGCTGCCCCTTGGTTGGGACGAGTTGTTGTAACACAAATTGACATCTTTCCGATTGAATCATCAACTTTGATACTGTATCTGTGATCACCAGCAGCTCTTCGCTTCTTACGATTTGACATATTAGAACCGGAACTAATCACATTCGAGCCTCCTAAAACACTTCCGGTGAAGCCAGTAAGCTTC